CCCACTCTGACCTCCATACACCGACCGCCCATCCCTCCTGGTTCCCGTCCCTGAGCACATGGCCCCCTGACTGGCTCTTCCTTCCCCGCAGGCTGCAGAAGATTCTAGGAGAGTCCCCGCCGGTTGCCCGGATGGACATCCAGCTGCCAATCATCACAGATGATTTCAAGTTCCAGGTGTGGAGGAAGATGTTCCGCTCACTGATGCCAGGTAGGGCATCTGCATGAGATGGATCAGTAGGGGGTGCTCTGTCATTGCTGGCCCCATTGCCTCAGTGCAGCTCTAGGGGGCGCTGTGCTGCAGAGAGCAGGTTGGTGGCTCAGTAGGGAGCGCTCTCCCCTGGCTGTCAGGGCTGGCCCCAGGGCCCCAGCACGGTGCATGGGGGAGCTGTGCTGCATTTCAAATGAGACTTCGTACCAATGCTCTGGCCATTCATGGTTTTTAAATGTCCCTGGCATTTTTCCAAGAGTCAGCGAGTTAACCACAATGTCCTGGCAAAATCCCAGCTATGGTGACTCTATTCTGTTCTCTAAATTCTACCTTCACTTTCAGTGCAGGATTGCAGTATGGCTGCTAAACAAACCCCTGTGCCCCACCCCAGAGGTAGCTGCATCTCAGCATCGGGTGAGGGATCCCTGTATATATCCAAGGACATATTTGATTCTCATTTACCCTGCACAGCAATCACCAGTTGTGCCAGGTGCTAAACAGACCCTGAGTGACATGATCAGCTCAACAGACCTGTGGCAGAGCCAGGAATAGAACCCAGGAGTCCAGGGCCCAGTGCAGTGCTCTATTCACTAGGCCCCAGTGTGCCGGGCACCCTCTGACTCCACCTGAGATTCTGGCCTCCCTTGAGGGGGATGCTTGGGGTGCTGTGTGGGAAAGAAGAATTAGGAAAAATGGGGATGGTGGGAGGTGACAAGGGGTGGAATTTTGGGCCAACTTTCCAGGATCCCACGTGGTGCCCCATTCCTTTCTCCCTCTCCCTCTCCCCTCCCAACAGCTCTGGAGAACCTGACCTTTGACCCAGACACGGCCCACCCCAACCTGGTGGTGTCGGAGGACGGCAAGCGGGTGGAGTGCGTGGAACACAAGCAGCCAGTGAGCTCTGATGACCCAGGCCGCTTCGACAAGTCCAACTGTGTGGTGAGCCGCCAGAGCTTCTCTGGTGGCGAGCACTACTGGGAGGTGACAGTGGGTGACAAGCCGCGCTGGGCGCTGGGCATCATCTCGGCTGACACGGGGCGAAAGGGTCGGCTCCAGGCCCTGCCCTCCAGCGGCTTCTGGCTGGTGGGCTGCAAGGAAGGCAAGAACTACGAGGCCCACGTGGAGCACAAGGAGCCACGGCTGCTGCGGGTGGAGACCAAGCCCAGCCGGATTGGGCTGTATCTCAGCTTCGAGGACGGGATGCTGGGGTTCTACGACGCCAGCGACGAGGACAACCTGGCGCAGCTCTTCGCCTTCCACACGCGCTTCACCACCACCGTCTACCCCTTCTTCGACGTCTGCTGGCACGACAAGGGCAAGAACAGCCAGCCGCTGGTCATCTACGCGCCGGAGCCGGAGGCCTCCTAACAGCGCCCCGCAGAGCCGGAGGTGCTGTAGCCACGCCTAGCCTCTCCCCACGGAGCCGGGAGTGCTGTAACCATGTTGCCAAAGGTGCTGTAGCCACGCCCAGCTTATGCTCCATGCTTCCAGATGTGCCGCAGCCATACCCAACCTTGACCCAAGATGCCAGAGCAGGAGGTGCCACAACCACACCCCACCACACCCCACATCACCAGAAGAGCCATGACCATGCCCAGCCGGCCCTACTTCACCAGCTGTGCCATAACCTCACCCCACAGCATCACGGCCACACCCAACCATGCCCATGTCGCCAAGTGAGCCACAGGCACTCCCAACCATGTCACCTGGTCTGGCGGTGCTGAAACCACGGCCGGCCACACCCCAGAGAAGCCGTGCCCTGCCACGCCTCGCTATGCCTGACATCACCAGAGCAGGAGGTGCCTCAACCATGGCCAACGTCACTGGAAGTTCTATAACTATGTTGTCAGACGCTCTGTAACCACAGCTAACCACGTGCTACATCGCCAGAAGCTCCGTAACAATGTCTTGTCATGCTACCATCAACAGAAGTCCCATTATCATGGCCCCCCATCACCAGAGGTTCATGCCTCCATTACCAAAAGCATCTCAATCATGCCCAAGCATGTGTCCATTACCACAGACTCCCTGGCCATGCCCACGTAGCTGGAAGTGCCGCAGCCATACCCCATGCCATCACTGCTCCTCCAGACATTCGGAGCCCATGTGGCCCAGCTCCAAGCTCCCTGGGACGGGCAGTGACCCGACATGGTTCCAAGCCTCCGGGATCTGTACAGGCAGTGCTGGGATCTGAGCATGTTCGCATCCAGATACGGTCTCCAATAAAACATGGTCGTGTCCCCTCTGCCTCCTGTGTGCACGTGTGTGTCTGGGCTTCTATCTGCCATATGGCCCCCAAACAATCTGTGAGGGATCAGCTACATCTTTATAAGGGCCCAGACACGTTATTTACTGGGCACTGTACCAGCATTAGTGAATTTATTCTTCTGGCACACACCCATGTGAGTGCATTACAGGAATCTCATTATTATTGGTTGTTATGGTAGCAGTTGGAGGTTGCAACTAAGATCAGCCTAAGAGCAGTTGTGCCTGGTGCTGTACAGACCCCGACCAAGATCAGGGCCCCGTTGTTCCTGGTGCTGCACAGACCCCAACCGAAATTAGGGCCCCCAGTGGGTCAGATGTTGCACAGAGTCACAGTGAGAGTCGGTCCCTGCCCTGAAGAGCTTATAGACTGAACAACAAAAGGTCGGAGGGAAAATTATTATTAGGGATCATCACCCACAGCCAAGCAGGGAGGGGTGGGATACTGGCCTAGATGGGCCATGGGTCTGGGCCAGGATAGCAGGGAGATGTGTAAGTGTGAATGGGGCATGGGGGTCAATTTTTTGAATTTGCCAAAGTGCCAGTTAGATTTCATCTGAAAATCTAACAAACTAGATTTTCCTACTGGATAAACAGTATTGCCAGTTTAGGGCTGGAATTTAGTTTGGCTCACCCTTTTTTTACTGCATCCTAGGAGTACTGGCTTTCTGATTTTAAAGTTGGGTCCTTCTCAGATCTACTTTGACCTCGGTCAGAATGTCTCAAATGAGGACACTGGGTTATTCTTAACCAGCCAACCGGTTTATTAATTCACCATGAATGACCCAGATCTATAATCAACAGTTATCAGTTCTCCAGTATTTCTAACACACTTTCTGCACCTAAAGTAATTCTCCAAGGAGTAAAGTTATGTCTCGCAGGCTGCACCTTGAGGAGTCCGGCATTTGCTGTTTCTCATGTTGGCTTTGAAAGGGACGTGTTTAAAGCATCTTAAACATATTCTGTGAGAGTCCGCTTCGTTCGATTGACTTGGGTGCACCAAGGAGGAGAAGCCAAAATACAGTTCCTCAAGGCCTCACTAGAGAGAGTGCAGCCGCAAAAAGGGAACTAGCAGTTACCACTTCAGTGTAGACACTCACTACGCAGACGGGAGGGGTTAATCCACACACACACATTCCCAAGAGGTAGTCACTACCTAGTGCTTTCTACACTGGCGGTTAGGCCAATTTAACGACATCACTCAGGGATATGGATTTTTCAACCCCCTGAGTGATGTAGCAGGGTCGACCTAACTTTTTAGTGTAGACCTCGCCTGGGCCATAAAAAGAAAGAACAATCTCTGAAATGAAATCTCATGGTTTCCCCAAACTGCTGGTCACCCTGGATAGGAGGAGTGTGTCCACGTTACGGCAGCTTCTTTGTTGGAGTCAGCACTTTCTGACGGTTTTTAGATCCTGTTTCGGGGTTCAATGGACGTATTTTCTGCTTGGCTGTTGGCTCTCAGATTTTGGATCGCTCATTCCTTCAATATCCAGTAGATGGCACCAGTGTATAACACATTTCTTTGCTCCTTTTCTTAGCTGAGGCTTTGTACGTTTCATCAAGGATTAGGAGTCCTTGTGGCACCTTAGAGACGAACACATTCATTTGGGCATAAGCTTTCATGGGCTAAAACCCACTTCATCAGATGCATGGAGTGAAAAATACAATAGGCAGGTATAAATATACAGCACATGAAAAGATGGGAGTTGCCTTACCAAGTGTGTGGGGGGTGGGGGTCAGTGCTAATGAGGCCAATTCAATCAGGGTAGATGTGGCCTATTCCCAACAGTTGACAAGAAGATGCGATTATGCCCAGATAAATTTGTTAGTCTCGTTAGCACTCCAAAAAGTAATTTTCCCTCTGTTGGTATTCACCCCTTCTTGTCAACTGTTGGGAATAGGCCACATCTACCCTTACATAAGTGACTAAGACTAGCTTCAAGATTTTATTGGCACACCCCATTTCCTGTTGCTGGAGGAATGGGATGTTCCACTTTCTTCTGATCTGTAAATGGGGATTCGGGGGAGGGGGTGTATCAGTCAGTGTGTATCTGTGTTGGTATTTGGGTGTGTCTGTGCATAATTGTGCATGCAAGTCTGTGTGTGTGCGTGACAGTGTCTGAGTACAGTGTGTGTATCTGTCAGTGTGTGTGCGTCAGGATGCATGTGTGTCTCTGTGTGCGGTATGTCTGTGGTGTAACTGTGTACGTGTCCCTGTGTGTAGTGTTTGTATGTAACTGAGTGTGGTGTGGTGCGTCTGTGTGTTATTCTGTGTGTGCAACTTTCTCTGGAGGGAGGTGTGGGTGTGTCGGGGTGTGTGTGCATTGTTCTTGCCACTCTTCCTGCCAAATTTCCGCCCCTCACCCCAACTCCGCTTTCCTTCCCAGCCAGGGCACAGATGCCCTTTGCCCTCCCAATCTCCATGCCCAGGAGTGTTTGAATAACACAAGACAACAGGAGTGAATCTGAGGCTGAGCCCCCTGGTGCCACCCATAGGAGCAAAACCCCTGACCGCACAAAAGGGCCACAAAAATCGGGAGCCAGATCAAAACTGTTAATCTTCCAACTGAGCACAGCCCAGTGTCACAGAAGAGAAGAGGGTGGGCTGGATGAAGGGTGGAAGTGATGAAATTTGTTTCACTTTACTTTTTGGGACACTGCTGTCTCAGGGGAAAGAGCCAGCATGGGAAAGACCCTGAGAGACCACCTGTTCGACACCATTAGAGAACTGGGCAAGTCGGACTTGAAGACATTTAAAGACAAGCTGAACAATTTCCAGCCCAAGGAAGGTTATAACCCCATCAGATGGGGAGAGCTTGAAAAAGCAGACACTGTAGAAATCACTCGCCTGCTCGTCAGCTACTACAAGGAGGATTACGCGGTGGAAGTGGCCGGGAAGGTGCTGGAGGACATGGACAAGAAGAACCTGGCACACAACCTGTTCCAGGCCACAGGGCAGGGTGAGTGAGGGGCTTTTAAGGGGGGATCGCCCCCTCCCTAAGGGGGATCTTGTCTTGATGGGTCTCCAAGTACAGGAGCTGCCTGCTTATCGGCCTGCCAAGCAGAAAAATGAGCAATGCTGCTGGCTTCCTTAGCACAACCCCCCCCCAGGGGCAGAATTGTGCAGCCCCTTCTCAGGCCAGGCTGCCACCGGGTATCACAGATCCAAAGGGCTTGAGACCAGAGGGGAAAGTGAGCTGGTACGGTGTACCGGTAAAAAATGGTCACCGGTACAGGCCCGTACACAGCAGATGTTAAAGCCCAAGGCCGCCAAGGGAGGGGGCAGCGATGTGGGAGGGGGCAAACGGGGCAGCTTCCCTGGGGCCCAGCAATTTAATAGGGCCCAGGGCTCCCGGCCACCACCGCTGCTATCATGTCAGCAGCCAGGGCCCCGGGCCCTTTAAATCCCCGGGCAGCACTGGCCAGGCAGCACTGAAGAGCTGGTTGGGGGAGGCTGACCCCCAGTCCCGCCCCTTCTGCCCGAGACCCTGCCCTTCCGGAGCCAGGCCCTCGTACCAGAAACACCTTTCAGTTACTTTCACCCCTGGTTTAGACACCTAACTTCCTGTTCTAGGTCCACAAAGGGAGTTAGGGTCTTCCACTGTATCACGGAGGCAACTCGATCCAGACAGGGCCAGGCCAGTAGTTGACGGTTCGCTTGTACCAGCCCAGCCCCCATCTCTTCCTTCTCCTTTCCCAAACGGGAAATGAACCCCCCAACACCCAGTGGGGATCACGGCTCCACAGTGGGGAATTGTGTAGGGGGGGGGGTGAGAGACACAGAGGGGAAGATCTGTTCATATGGAGATAGGAAAAGATAGGGGTGCTGGAAAGGAAGAGAAGGAGGGATGGGGGATAAATACATGGATGTGGAATTGCTCACACCTGGAGGGAGGAGTCCTGGGTCCAAGAAATGGTTATTTTTCTTGCTTCATCAGTCCAACAAGGAACCAAACATTCTCCTTTCTATGGGGGAGGTTTTTTTCTGTTCCCCTTCCCCGCCACTGATTCCTCATGGCAACATTCCCCGACTCAGCTATGGGTCACCCCAAACCTTCTCCTGCCGGCTCCCAAATCCCCGTCCCTGTGGGGGAACGGCTCGCTCGGGGTGCACCCCTGAGAGACGAACCTCTCTCCTCCTTCTCTGCTGCAGCTACAGGCGGTGCCCAGCAGACCCCAGCTCCGACCAGCACCATCCGGACCAGGGTCACAGGTGGGTTGACATTTGTCCAGCTGTGTCGGGGATGGGACAGTAACACGGGTTTTTGGTCATGTTCAAGACCCCACCCCCAACCCCAGTGCATTATGTCATTTATGGAGCGCCCTAAAATCCCTCTGGGTTCACTGCACGGAGAGGCTGGCTGTCCACGAGCTCCCAGCTGCCGTAGAAAGCTGAGATTGTGCTATGGGGAACTGGCCAAAGACTGAGGGGTTTCTCCTGTGGAAGGGAAGGATCCCGGCAGTGAGGGAGGCGGGCAGCGTGGGGAGGGCAGGCTGGGATGGGAGAGTGATCTGGGCAGCGGGGGAGGCGGGTGGCATGGGGCGTGCAGGCTGGGGGTGTGGGGGGGAATCCAACAGATAGCCGGGTGATGTGGAGAGCGTCAGGCGGGATCCCAGCAGGGATGAAGGAGGGGCAGAGGCTGCTCCGATTCCTTTCTGAGTGAGCTCCCTGTTGTCTCCAAGCAGGTATAGCTGCCCCCATGCCCAGGGAACACAGGCCAGACTCGTCCAGGGCTGGAGACTCAGGTAGGGTGACCAGATGTCCGGGTTTTCCTGCACATTGCCTTTGAGGCTCCTTCCTCTGTCCGGGCAGATTTTTCAGACAACAGGAACTGTCCAGGTGTTTTGCAGAGCAGATGCTGGAGCTCAGCAAGAGCCCCAGTTGGTCCATTTCCTGACTGGTCCCACCCCTGCATCTGCAGCTGATCGGTGCAACCACCGATTCTGGGGCCCACCCAGGCCCCGGCTCCCAGCCCCGGGGAGCGGGTTCCCGCAGGGAGGTGCTATCTGGTGGCTTTCGCTGCACGCTGGACTTGCGCCAGCCGTCCTGCCCCCATGACAGGGAGCAACACTGCCCACCCCTCCAGTGAATACCCTCACTGCAGGTGCCCCCTCCAGTACCCCCAACCTGTCCCCCCTCCACCTTCCTCCCTCAGTTCCCCTTTTTGAAAACTTGACACACAGTAACCCTTGACTCAGGTCAGGCCTGAGGCCCGACACAGGCCCCCCGACCACACTCAGCGCTTTGGCCCTCCAGCTTCTGATGTCAGGGGAGGTGCTGCCACTCAGCCCAGCCTTCCACAGCCGGCGGGTGGCGGCTGTTTTGAAGCTGCTTATTCAGCTCACTCATCGTAGGCTCCCCGGTCTTGTCGAGCCACAGCTGGGTTAACTCTGGCCTCTGCCGTGTAGACGGCCGAATGGTTCCTACTAACCCCGTTCGCTAGCGCTCCAGTTCCCAGCATGGTTACGCTACTGTCCACATAGCGACTGGAACTGGGTCGGAGCAGGTTCCAGCTTGCATTGCGTTTCTCTTTACAACTGAGATCAGAATCCAGCCCTGATGCCACTGGCCTCGGCGGGGTCACTGCGGATTTACACTGGGGTCACCGAGATCACAATCGATTTTCTGGGAGTGTCTCATAATAACCATAACAACAACTTACATTTTATCTTATAATAATAACAGTTGTGCATGTAATAGATTGTGTGTATATCTACATAAATACCCAACGAACGTGTCACCCCAGCACAGCTAGACAGAGAGAGGGGTGTGTATGGGGATAGACAGGTGGATGGATAGTTGTATAGGAGGATAGAGGGAGGGATGTGTATGGAGATGGATGGGTGGGTGGATGGGGGCTTTTGAAAATACTGGCGTGATTTAGGAATCCCACTGATTTTTCAACAGAATGTTTACTCAGAAGTCTTTTTCATGCTTTAAAAAATGACACCCCTGTCATGGATCCACAGGATCGGTGCTATGGCCCTCACTTTGGAACAGTCTCTAGGAGGACCTGTTCAGTGAGCCAGACCCCGCAGAGGTCAGAGAATCATAGAATATCAGGGTTGGAAGGGACCTCAGGAGGTCATCTCGTCCAACCCCCTGCTCAAAGCAGGGCCAATCCCCAACTCAATCATCCCAGCCAGGGCTTTGTCAAGCCTGACCTTAAAAACTTCTAAGGAAGGAGATTCCACCACCTCCCTAGGTAACGCATTCCAGTGCGTCACCACCCTCCTAGTGAAAAAGTTTTTCCTAATATCCAACCTAACCCCCCCCCCCTTGCAACTTGAGACCATTACTCCTTGTTCTGTCATCTGGTACCACTGAGAACAGTCTAAATCCATCTCCAGGGCGAGCCACCATGTGGCTTCACCGCCTCCATAGACTGGACCTCTGGTCGTTCAGCACCGCGAGCTCCATTCAGCCGGTCCCACTGAGACGGACCCCTGAGGGAGACTTGTACAGTATTAGGGAGCAGTGCACCCCACCCCACCACCTGCAGTGACACTCAGCCAGCCTTGTCACAGTAGGGTTTACTAGTCAGCTGGGGCACAGCCTAGGAAGTCCTTGGTTAGCACAGAGAAATGAAGGTTGAAGCATAGGCCCTTCTGGGTAGCCAGAGCCCAGCCAAGCTGTAGTGAACCCTCATTGTTCAAGCTCTGTCTGTCCCTGCGTCTGATCTCCTTTGTCAGACTCCAGGCGGTGCCCCCGACTGCTTCCCGCAGCCCACATTTAACTTTCTCCTCGCTCTTGCCCCCCTCCCAGTCCTCTGTTCCCAAGCTGGGGAGATACAGCTCAGCCCCCCGCCGTGGAGATGCAGGAAGTCCATATCTCTCTGGGTCATTGATAGCCAGGTTTCAATGTCCCTGGGATTGGATCTGCCATTGTCTTCTGAAGAGCTGCATTCATGTGGGACCTAAGGCCCCAGCCAGCGAGGCACCATTCACACCTGGATCTGAGCCTGCCCTGAGAGCAAACAGTTCCTTTTCACCCACTAGGTAACAATGCAGCAGAGAGGGGAAACTGAGGCACACATCTGCTTCATAAAAAATATTACCAAAACTTCCTACTTCATCACAACCCATACTTAACGGCAAAATTTGGCTGAAGAGCAGAGAGGTACATAGACTGGCATCCTGGTCTCTAGGGGTTAGCAATACAATAGGCTAGCGTGGCTTAGTGGATCATGCAGAGGATGAGGGCGCAGGCTCTATTCCCAACTTTGCCGCTGTCCTGAGGGGTCACCTTGGGAAAATCACTTGTGCCCTCTGTGCCAGAATCACCCCATCTTTAGATGGGGATAAAGACACCGACCTCCTTGTTAATCATTGTGATGTCTATTGATGGCAAGCTCAAGGGATGGAGACCCGAAGATGGATGGAATAGCCACTTTGAGATCCTTGGGGTGAAAGACACCAGAGAACTTCCAGATCAAGTAGCATAAAAGCCACCTGAACTCCGTTCCTTTATGCAGCTGTTTCTGACTCACTCCCCTGTTTCCAGGAGACGAGATGGACCTTCGGTAACATCAGGTGCTGAGCTCAAGCCTTCACAATTGATGTGACGCAGTGAAAGAGATGGCTAACACTGGAATGAAGACCGCCCTGCAGCTCTACCAGCTCCCAATGGCCAAGGAAACCTGGAGCCTTTTCAGCGTCATACCAACTGGCCAGGATATTGCATTCCATGTTTTCGGTCAATAAAACAATTGCCTGGTTTTCATACAGAGAACTCGTCCATCAGCTGTGCGGGTGTTTTCCTTGATCTTTTCAGCCGGCAGGTTCAATGGTGTGTCGGAGATTTGGCTGGGCTCCGGTGAAAGTCCCAGCTGTGGTGCTCTCCTCTTACAGCACCTAGGATGGTGGGTCTGTCTCATGAGCGAAATGGCTGCAAGGCTTGGATGAGTGACCCTAAGGAACGTTTGGATCCTGTTAGAAGTACAGGGAGCCGAGCCTAATGGTGCACAAGGGGGTGCTGCCGGGAGGGCTCAGTAGGGGATGCTCTCCCACACAATCAGTGCTGGTCCCTAGGGGGTGCTGTGCTGTGGGAGGCTCAGTAGGGGGTTACTCTTTCTCCCGTCTCAGTCAGTGCTGACCCCAGTGCGCCCCTAGGGGGTGCTGTGCTGCAGGGAGGATGGCTCAGCAGTGGTTATCCTTTTTAACAACTGCTAACATGGCTCATCCAGCAGCTTTTGAACTCCAGACCTCTGAACCCACAGCACAGCGCTCTACCACGTGAGGTAAAGGAGCAACTTCATTAACTAGCAGCAGGAGCAGGCTGGTACTCTCTCTTTGACCCTGCGTCTAGAGAGGGACGTAGCACAATCAGCCAGCAGGTTATTTTCTTAACCTTAATACAGTTTTTTGGGGGGGAGAATTTACTCTTTTTATAGTGCCCCCAAATGAGCCAGGCACTTCGCAGAAGATATAGCAGGGCCTGACTTCATCACCTTTACGCTGAGTAGTACCACTGATGTCAATGGGAACTATACAATACTAATTTCTCCGTACTGTTACTCACACCTTCTTATCAACTGTCTGTAATGGGCCACTCTCATTACCACTTCAGAAGTTATTTTTCCTCCCTTGGTATCCTGCTGTTAATCGATTTCTCTCATTAGACTGACCTCACCCTTGGTAAGGCAACCCCCATCCTTTCATGTATCTATACCTGCTCCTGTATTTTCCACTCCATGCATCTGACGAAGTGGGTTCTAGCCCATGAAAGCTTATGCCCAAGTAAATGTGTTAGTCTCTAAGGTGCCACAAGGACTCCTCATTCTTTATACCCTCACAGTGTTTACATCAGCCTGCAAGTCACAGGGAGCACTCGCCACAGCTAGCACCTCCTTCTGGTTGCTCTGGTGTCTCGCCTGTTGCCCTCTCATTCCGCAGACCTTTCTCGCTCCAGGAACCGCACCCTCCTCTTTGTGACTTCGCCCTATGGCCAGGTCACTACATGGTTCCCCTTGGGGGCAGGGGGGGGGGGGGGAGTGTAACAGAGTCTTTTCATGCAAATAGTCTCAGGCAGTCCACTGTCCCTTGCCTGGTCTCTACCATGTCCCCAGTGGCTGACAGGGCAACCCGGGCCCACCCTCTCCACCAGGTTCCAGCTCAGGGGCCCTCTAATCAGCAGCGAAAGACTGCACTCCTGTTCACTGCTGCTTATCCCCTGAGCCATCTCCTACCTTTCTGGCTTCCTCTCTCCCTCTCTCTGCGTTTACCAGCTTCCCAGCTCACTCCCAGGAAGTAACAGTGGGCTACCCTCTAGAGTCCCAACACCCAGGGAATGTCTGCAGACCAGCTCCCTGCAGCCTCTTTCTGCTGTCAGCTACCTGGCTTTGTACAGGCCCCTCCCGGTCCTGTCCACCTGACCCTCATGGCTGATTAATCAATCCCTGCTCCCTTGCTCCTCCTCCAGGTGCTGCCTATAGGTTCCTGGGGCCTAATTTCCCCCCTCAAGGACAGGGTGGGAGCACACCCCCAACAAACTGCATTTAAACTTCATTTTGTACATTCCTTTCTTTTGTGTTCTGTTAAAAAAAAAAAGGAATGGCCTTTAACGGTGTGCTTTCAAATATTGAACAAACGTTGATTTGCTACCACAAACAAATTAACTTTGAAAAGCTTGGATACAAAGTCTGTTACTGTTTGGCTAACACCGAGTGCTCAGTGGGTGAGAGCATTACACCACAGAAGATTTTGTTGAGCGTCTGTTTTAGCAGTGAAGCGTTATTTTTATTATGGAAAACTAGTAATGCACAAGATAAGGAAGTAAAAATAAATGTCTTTGCAAAAGCAGGTCGACTTGTTCTAAAGAATTGGGGAAAATGAGAACAAAAGCGTAGATTGTGTTATAAGTAACTTGGTTCCTATTGCATGGTAAGTACATACATTAAAAGCACATTAACCATTTAGACCACCAGACAGCGGAAACCATCTCTGAACCATGGCAGTGAGGGCCTGGCTACTGAGAAACGGTGTCCCACTTACAGTATGCATGATGAAGTGAGCTGTAGCTCACGAAAGCTTGTGCTCAAATAAATTGGTTCGTCTCTAAGGTGCCACAAGTCCTCCTGTTCTTTTTGCGGATACAGCCTAACACGGCTGCTACTCTGAAAAGTATGCATGACGTCGCTAAACTGTTTAATCAAAGACAAGTAAAAATCGGTTATTGTAAACATCCTAAAGGCAAGGGGAAATTGTACTAGTAGAGAACTTACGTGTACCGCTTATGGGTGTTACGTGCTAACCCCCAGAACCAGTTCATGAGAAAATATTGAAAAAGGAAAACACTTAGATAAAAATAGTGAAAACCCAGCTATTGTGTCTTTGAGAACAGAGACCTATTTACAGCAAAAAGCTGAAATGAGTGTAGTAAAATCCGGGGGAAATAAAACAAAACCGTGTTTAAAATAAACAAGAAAGCTCCTATAGGCTGCATAAAATATGAATGTTTGAGGCACGTTTGAATACAAGAGAGCGGACTCAGCCCTGTTGCACTGCATGGTATAACCATAACCTACTGAAAAAATTAAGGCCCGATGAAACCATACCCCCATGTTTTCTTAACGTTCCATCAGGGTTAGATATTTGATCCTGTTGGGGTTAGAAAAATGATCAGTAAATAGGTGTGATGGGCTGTAGGATATGCGATATGTAGAATGTATACATTAGGTGATGGGACATGTGAAAAGATGCTTGCTTGTCTGGCAGGGTGGGAGAACAGCCAGGGGAAAAGCTCAGCCAGCAACCTGATCAGGTGAACACCTGGGTCAGCACTACAATCAGGTAAACAACTAAGTCAGCCAACTAATCTTAGTGTTCTGCAGAAAAGTGTTTGTACAACATATAATGAATAACTTTGTAACAAGGTATTTAAGGCCCACACCTGAAGGCAAGGGCTTGCTTGCATTTAACCCTATTCTGTGCCCTGTTTGGGTGGACTGATCAGTCACTGAAGAAGCAAATAAACAACCTGCTTCTCCAGCTCAAGAATCTGTCTGTGAATCTGTGTGTTCTGGGGGTTCCCTAGGGAGGTGGGGGAATCTCCATCCTCAGAGGTTTGTAAGGCCCGGCTTGACGAAGCCCTGGCTAGGATGATTTAGCTGGTGTTGGTCGTGTTATGAGCAGGGGGTTGGACTAGGTGACCTCCTGAGGTCCCTTCCAACCCTAATCTTCTATGATTCTATGAAAAGAGCCAGTCAAGATGGACATTCACCCACAGTAAGAGGGGTGGGTGGGGATGATGAGCTATAGTTAATATTAAATTAAATAAAACCTCAGGAGTTTGTAGAACACTATGGATCATACTTTCTCACAACTCAAAGTCATTAGAACAAATATTTCTCACTATACCCATGTCTATCTCCTGCATATGCCCCTAAATCACAAACAACATTTTAAACATTAAAACCACCCTTTTAAACCATTTTAAAACACACACAACACACATATTGCCGAGTAAAAACCCCAGTAATTTTTTTTAAAAATGAGAAGTCACTGTGGCACCTTAAAGACTAACAAATTTATTTGGGTGTAAGCTTTCCAGAAGGAAGTGCCAGATACCCAGAGAGGGTGCACTGAGGTGGTGGTGAAGGCCGAAGGGCACGAAAAGGAGAAGAGAAACTTGTAATTGGAGAGGAGAAACTCGAAAGAGTCCCTCAGAGGCCAAGCTGAAGGATATAGGGACCAATACGGAGACTAACTGGGGCAAGACAGGAACTCAGACCCTGGGAGAAGGGGTGCAGAGAGAGCCCACAGAGCTAGGGCCAGGGCTACAGAAGAAAGTGAAAGCCAACTTGGCCTTGCGAGTATCGTGAGAAGACGCAGAGTTCCTGAGAGAGAAATTCAGGGGGTGCCAGGGAGGAAAACAGCAAGTTGCTCCTCATGGTGGGAGACGGGGAGAATGAATGGGATGACCTGTGGGCCTAGCCGTGACTGCTCCAGGGGAGAAGGTACCTGCCCGCCTGAGGGTTGGGGTCTTGAGGGGCAGGGTTAATGTAGAGTGAGTAGGGAGCTAATTAACCCAACAAGCCACAGCTGAGGGGAATCAGGGGGCTAAGGGAGCCCAGCTCAGAAGGAGGACGCTGGGCTGGAACTATAAAGGCAGGAAATTGGGAACAGAAGGGGGTTGCTGGGAGAGTCTACAGTCACATCCTGGGAGAAGGGAGGTGTATTTGGCCTGGGAGGAGAGAAGCCAGGAAAGTAGGACAGAGCTCAGGGAAAGGTAGTAAGGTCTAGAAAGGAACAAACCTTGACTGCTGGTTAGAGTGAGCCAGAATACAGGTGGGCTGAGGTTCCCCTGCCAGCCACTGCAGGACTGGTACTATGAGGCAGTGAACAGGAATATCGCTTGGGGTCGCTGAAGGAGTCTTTGGAAGATGCATCTAGCTATCTGGCTGGAGGGCTGAGTCGCAAAGAGGCAGCAGCTCGTGGAGTAACAGAGGCGCTTCAAATCCAGAGAGAAAGGTGGAGAGATGGCAAGCAACTGCAGGAACGGGTGTGGATCCAGTGAGCTATTCCCCAGAATGACCAGGAGGAGATGCCATCCTAGCAGTGAGCGGAGCACCCCATCACCGGGACCTTGCAGATGTCCATGAATGTCTTAAGGTGTTTTCTTCATTTTAAACATCTTTCTTTGGTGCTCAAAGTTTGTGTTTATTTACAAACAAAAATGGATGTAGCACAATCATAGCAAACACCCTGCAAATCCCTCTAGCGTTTAAATGTTTGGTTGTTCTCACAGATATTCTTCTATTGTGGAGGTTTATGAGTCCTTGCAACATTTCAGTTTTGGGTTAGACCCTTGTTTACTTTTGAAAATCATTGGTTTTTAAACTTTTAATGTCTTTGAGCTGCTAGAAAGACTGACCCATAGCATTCTACAGACTCCTTGGGTTTTAGTTAAACTATCCAAACGATGAACTCCTGAGACTCTATTTGATTTAATATTAATCAGAGCTCACCATCCCTTTACTGTGGGTGAAGGCCCATCAGACCTAATTACTCATAACTAATAGCTTTAACCCTGATGGAAACAAGCGTGCATAATCACATCTAGACCTAGGCCTCCAGAATCACTGAAGGCAATGGAGTCAGCCCTGCCATTTCGGCAGGGGGTGGTTAAACCAAATCAGTTCAACAGGGTCGAGCCAACACCTGTCTCAAACATCCATTTTTTATGCAGACCATGGGAACTCTTGCTTTATTTTAAACAGGTTTGTTTTATTTTCCCAGGATTCTACTACACTCATTTCAGCTTTTTTTGCTGTAAATAGGTGTCTTTTCTCAAGACACGATAGCTCGGTTCTCAGAAACTATTTTTATTTAAAAGACCTACAGATGCTTGAAAACAAACAGATGCCCCATCAAAATTTTCATCTTATTTAAGGGCCATTGTAAACATATAATGCGGTGATTGTTATTCCTAAACAAAGTAGATATTTGTATTATCGCCACTTTAAGGACTCTGGGGATTGTAGGATCATGCAGGCAGGTTTGTTGTCTTGCTACTAAAAAGGTGGGACTGAGACAACATTAGAGGACTTGATTGTTGAGCAGCTGAAGAGCTGCATTAAATGCTCCGAAGGCAGCATTTGACACCGGCAGCAGTGCAGAAGTAAGGGTGGCAATGGGACGCTAGTAAGTCTGCTGTGAAAAGTGATATTCATATGTTTGTTAATATCACTTTTCAGACTCCCAGCTAGCTAGCAAGTCTGCTGTGAAATCTGTGCTAGCAAGTCTGCTATGAAACGTGATATTAACAAACAAACAAATATCACATTTCACAGCAGACTTCGTGCCCCGTTGCCGCCCTTCTTCTGCGTTGCTGCTCATGGAGGTGCTGCTTTCAGAGCCCCCCAGGTCTGAAAACGCAGAGGGGAGGGTGGCAATGGTGCCCCAAATCTGCTGTGAAAAGTGATATTGACAAAGTTTCTTCATGCCCCCATCCCCAGTATTAAACAGTAACTATTTTTAAAAATAACTTTTCAGCTTATAAAAATAATTTGATAAAAATGTGTGTTCGTCTTAATTTAAAAGCGGTGAGAAAAGGTCAATTCATTTTAAACAATAGGGTTATACATTTAGCATTTCAAATAGTGTTAAATATAAAACATGTGTTTTTAATTTATAAGGGGGGGGCTCACACTCAGAGGTTTGCTGTGTGAAAGGGTTTGCCAGTACAAAAAGTTTGAGAACCACAGCTCTAAATATAGTGGACATAGTCCATATCATAGAATATCAGGGTTGGAAGGGACCCCAGAAGGTCATCTAGTCCAACCCCCTGCTCGAAGCAGGACCAATTCCCAGTTAAATATGTTATATTTAATACCATTCCCTCCACATCTTCCAGGCCTGAGCGAGGCAGTGTCTCTGACTCATCAAGCAGAGAAATGTACAGCTTCTAATCCGGGGTGAAAGTTCCTTAGTTTGGATTTCTTTTGGGGGATCAAAACATTTGCCCTCATGCACCTTCAGTTTTGTGGGTCTCACGGCAAGCTCTTCCTAACTGGTTTGAATTTACCGGGCACAATGAGTCACTCTGTGTAGGCAAACAGTGTGTTACCCTTTGTATGTCAGTTTTTGGCGGGTTCTTGTTAGCTAAACAGAGATTCCTTCCTTAGGTAAACAATGAGACTTTTGCCTAAGACAAGCTTCAAGATTTTATTGGCACATCCCCATTTCCTGTTGCTGGAGGAATGGGATATTCCACTTTCCTCTGATCTGTAAATCTGTGGGGTGGTCAGTGTGTATCTGTGTTGGTATTTGTGTGTAGTGTGTGTGTCTGTGTGTATAACTGTCTCGGGGGCGGGGGGGTTCCTGTGTGTAACTGTCTGTGTGTCCTTGTGTCTCTGTCTCTGTGTGACTGTCTCTGTGTGTGGTGTGTAACTGTATCACTGGTGTGTGGTGATGTATGTCTCTGTGTGTGCACATTGCTCTTGCCCTCCCTCCTGCCTACTTCCCCCCCAACCCCATCTCCTCTCACTTTGCCCTCCCAGTCTCCATGCCCAGGAGTGTTTGAATAACACAGGGCAACAGGAGTGAATCTTAGCCGCCTGCTGCCCCCATAGCGGCAAAACAAAAGGCCCCACAAAAGGGCCACAAGAATCGGGAGCCAGAGTGGGAGCAAAACTGTTAATCTTCTAACTGAGCCCAGGCCAGCGGCGCAGAAGGGAAGAGGGCGGGACTCCGCTGGATGAAGGTGGCAAAAGTTTTTCACTTTCCTTCCTGGGACCCCTCCCTCCTTCCCGCTCTGTCTCGGGGCAAAGAGGGATCATGGCAAAGACGCCGAGGGACCACCTGTTCGACATCATTAGTGAGCTGGGCGAGTCGGACTTGAAGACCTTTAAAGACAAGCTGAACAATTCCCAGCCCAAGCCAGGTTATACCGTATCAAGTGGAGCCAGCTGGAAAAAGCAGACGCTGTAGATATCACTCGCCTGCTCGTCAGCTACTACGAGGAGGATTACGCAGTGGAGGTGGCCGGGAAGGTGCTGGAGGACATGGACAAGAAGAACCTGGCACAAAACCTTTTCCAGGCCACAGGGAAGGGTGAGTGAGGGGCTCTCAAGGGGGGATCACCCCCTCCCTAAGGGGGATCTTGTCTTGATGGGTCTCCACGTACAGGAACTGCCTGCTTATCGGCCTGCCAGGCAGAGAAATCAACAATGCTGCTGGCTTCCTTGGCACAGTCCCCGAAGGGCAGAATTTGTGCAGCCCCTTGTCAGGCCAGGCTGCCACTGGGTATCACAGATCCAAAGGGGTTTAGACACCTAACTTCCTGTCCTAGGCCCACAAAGGGCGCTAGGGTCTTCCTCTGTCTCACCAAGGCAATTCCCTTCGGGTGCTTCGCTTGTACCAGCCCAACCCCCAAACGGGAAATGAACCCCCCCCACCACCCAGTGGGGATCACTGCACTGAGAGTGGGGAAACAGAGGCACACTTAAACAAATACATTACAGAAATTTGCCACATGCTCCTCGCTGGGCAATTCTGTATCAGAGAGAGACCATGCACCAGAGAGTGACATAAAGTTTTTGGGTGGGGGACGACAACCTGGAAGGACAGATCTATTAATATAGAGAGGTAAAAAAAGGGGCTGAGGAGTTTCCCCTGGAGAGTGGAGGGATCCCAGCAGCAGAAGGAAGGAAGGAGCACAGGCTGGGATAGAGGGATGGGGGGAGGTGTTAGGGGGCTTATTCCTTCACCCACTTACTTCCCTGGTCCTTCTTGCATGAACAGAGAGCAACAATACCCGAAGTCCAAAGGTGCAAACAATTCGATGTTTATTGGGGTGAACTTCCAGCAAGCATGATTCCAGTGTCCTTCCTTTGTGTCCCCCTTCCCAGCTCTGACACCACAGAGCCTTACACCTGTGTCCCTGTTCCCATTCCTACCCTTAGCCAAACATGATTCCAGTTTCCCCACCCCCATTCCCTGTTCCCATTTCCACCTCCCCACACACACACTCACTTCCTGACTGACTGCAGACTATATAGTAAAACTTGAGTTCGGCTTAGCTATACCTTAACCAATCATTTTCCTGAAATTTAACTAACCAATCCTAACATATTGTTACATGATTATGTAACCAATTATATCCCACCACCTTAATTAGTTTACACCCAGCAAAATTCATTATACAGGAGACAGAAACATTCACAGAACCAGACAGAGATTATACAGACAAACAATGCGGAAATGGGGACTACAGTCATAGAACAACACAGAAGTGAGGATTTCACATCCCAGCTGTTAAGTGAGTTCTTGCCAGACAGGATGCTATCAAACTAAGTTTCCTTTTACATTTTCTAGGCACTTCCCTTTCTCTGGAGGTGACAGGAGCTATCAGGACAGGATTGTATTCCTAACAGCCCAATAGCACCTTCTTTCAATGTGACTGGTTTGGAATGTGAGGAGGTGACCATTCGCTTCCCAGCTTATAGAAAAGGAGGACTTGTGGCACCTTAGAGACTAACCAATTTATTTGAGCATGAGCTTTCATGAGCTCAAATAAATTGGTTAGTCTCTAAGGTGCCACAAGTACTCCTTTTCTTTTTGCAAATACAGACTAACACGGCTGTTACTCTGAAACTTCCCAGCTTATGGCTGCCTCTGTCACTTACCCAAAGGCCTTAGCCTAAGCACAGGGCCTCAGACTGTCACAGTAAGAGAAGGACCTTACACTGGCAGACAGTGATTTTGATTCTTTCTTTTATACCTCTAACTAGCTAAGTGATGATAATACACCTAAATTCTTAAAGTACAGGTCTTTACAGACAGGCCAGAATATCTATATCCTAACACTCCACCCCTTTTTTTTCTTTTTCTTTTGGGATCCTCCTGCCCAGGTATGCTGGAAAAGCATAGGACATATGGTGACACATTTCCTGATAGGGCCAGGCATCAAGGTGGAAGGTGAACTTGTGGCACCTTACAGACTAACCAATTTATTTAAGCATAAGCTTTCGTGAGCTACAGCTCACTTCATCGGATGCATACTGTGGAAAGTATAGAAGATCTTTTTATACACACAAAGCATGAAAAAATGGGTGTTTACCACTACAAAAGGTTCTCTCCCCCCACCTCACTCTCCTGCTGGTAATAGCTTATCTAAAGTGATCACTCTCCTTACAATGTGTATGATACAACCGCATTTGCTCCAACCTCTCAGACAGAGACAAACACCTACAAGATCACTATCAAGCATTCTTACAACTACAATACCCACCTGCGGAAGTGAAGAAACAGATTGATAGAGCCAGAAGAGTTCCCAGAAGTCACCTACTACAGGACAGGCCTAACAAAGAAAATAACAGAACGCCACTAGCCGTCACCTTCAGCCCCCAACTAAAACCCCTCCAACGCATTATCAAGGATCTACAACCTATCCTGAAGGATGACCCAACACTCTCACAAATCTTGGGAGACAGACCAGCCCTTGCCTACAGACAGCCCCCCAAACTGAAGCAAATACTCACCAGCAACCACATACCACACAAGAGAACCACTAATCCAGGAACCTATCCTTGCAACAAAGCCCATTGCCAACTGTGCCCACATATCTATTCAGGGGACACCATCACAGGGCCTAATAACATCAGCCACAATATCAGAGGCTCATTCACCTGCACATCCACCAATGTAATATGTGCCATCATGTGCCAGCAATGCCCCTCTGCCATGTACATTGGTCAAACTGGACAGTCTCTATGTAAAAGAATAAATGAACACAAATCAGACATCAAGAATTATAACGTTCATAAACCAGTCGGAGAACAATTCAATCTCTCTGGTCACGCGATTACAGACATGAAAGTTGCGATATTACAACAAAAAAACTTCAAAACCAGAGTCCAGCGAGAGACTGTTGAATTGGAATTCATTTGCAAATGGGATACAATTAACTTTAGGCTTGAATAGAGACTGGGAGTGGCTAAGTCATTATGCAAGGTAACCTATTTCCCCTTGTTTTTTCCTACCCACTCCCCCCCCCCAGACGTTCTTGTTAAACCCTGGATTTGTGCTGGAAATGGCCCACCTTGATTATCATACACATTGTAAGGAGAGTGATCACTTTAGATAAGCTATTACCAGCAGGAGAGTGGGGTGGGGGGAGAGAACCTTTTGTAGTGGTAAACACCCATTTTTTCATGCTTTGTGTGTATAAAAAGATCTTCTATACTTTCCACAGTATGCATCCGATGAAGTGAGCTGTAGCTCACGAAAGCTTATGCTCAAATAAATTGGTTAGTCTCTAAGGTGCCATAAGTACTCCTTTTCTTTTTGCGAATACAGACTGACACGGCTGTTACTCTGAAAGGTGGAAGGTGTCGATATTCCATTTGTCCCACTGCCCCTTGTGTAGTCTAGTGCCCTGCACCTTCTCTCGTACGGGCATACCACACCTATTCCAATTAGTGTTCCAGACTTTCCATTCGAGTGGGCCCGAGAAGGTTGGGTCCGGGTTGTCTAGTACACTGCAGGGTTTGGAGGGCTTATTACTTATAGGTTATCTCCATATGCAATGTAACACAAGTACAGTTAACAATACAAAATCCACAGCAACACCGAGTCCTGACCACTGCAGTATGGTCCAACATCCGAGACACCCCCAAAACACTGCCTCTCCTCCTTTGACAGGATCACGATCTTATGTGTCCAGTTGCTGGCAGTTGCAACAAGCTGTCCCTGGAGGTTTTGCTTGCTTTTGTCCATTTCATAAGTCCACTGAATGTTCACAGAGAAATGGGATATTGTCCAAACCAGCCTGACCACTTGGTATGGAATCAGGCAGTATGCCCTGGTTTGATTATTCACACCAATAAGAATCACAGATCCATTTGTGCACCAAAGTCCAGACACCAGATGGGTGTAGTTTGGTTATGGCCTGGTGTAATTGTGCCCCCAGCAATATGTACATTCCCAGCAAAACACCTTATACACAGTACACCCAATTGTTCACCCCTTGCATAGACCATTGATCCTGCTCCTCCATAGTCATAGGAGAGGGGCACATCCAAACATCTGTTGATTGACACTATTTTACACACCCCTCCATTGATTCCCGGTGAGCTCCTCCCCTTCTCATTATTCCATACGGCTCGTGGGAACCACTTTAGTTGCCGGTCCCATTTCCTTTCCAGGTACCATGGTAGCTATTACACAGGTGCTGGCCTCCTAATTGAGCATTTTGCATTCCCATACACATCTCCCCGCAGGGTCAGCCTTTTGAAGCCATCCCCCACCCATGTCATGAGGTTTTCTGTCCATTAAAACACAACATTGCTAGCAACAAGACAAACACAAAACACAGATCCATGGTATTGTGCATTATTTTTCCTGCTGGCGCCAGCTTGCTTGTAGAGTGTCTGAAAAATAAAAGAAACAATTTCCTCCCCCCTGGTGGGGACAGATTATTGCTTAATAATAATAATAATAATATCCACTTTCTTTTACAAATTTCCTTGCTAATTGCAGGAAAAACACAAGAATTACCTCCAGGCTGTCCTTATTTTGTTCTATAGTCAGGCTAGTGAATTACCGCACTCACTGGTCATTTATGAAATTCATGAGGTGGTGTACCTCAGTTTCCCCTCTTGTACAACAGACCATGTTTGCAATAGTTTCTCTGCTGTATCAAGCTTTAAGTTTATTCTCAGGTAATAGCTGAGACACAGCTTCAGATTTTAGCACTATACACATACACACACCCCTTAAGGTTAACCTGTCCCCCTTATTTTCAGGCTTGACTTGTTTTTTCACCTCCCTTTCCTGGAGGGCCATAATCTGAGTCTTCTAGTAGCTTGTTTGCTAACCAGATGTATTCATTATTTGCAGCTCCTTTGAGCCCATCAGCTAGGTAATTTGCATTTACACAGAGGCTTACTAGCTTGCTTCTAGAAAAGGAGTACTTGTGGCACCTTAGAGACTAACCAATTTATTTGAGCATGAGCTTTCGTGAGCTACAGCTCACTTCATCAGATGCATACCGTGGAAACTGCAGCAGACTTTATATACACACAGAGAATATGAAACAATACCTCCTCCCACCCCACTGTCCTGCTGGTAATAGCTTATCTAAAGTGATCAACAGGTGGGCCATTTCCAGCACAAATCCAGGTTTTCTCACCCTCCACCCCCCCACACAAATTCACTCTCCTGCTGGTGCTAGCCCATCCAAAGTGACAACTCTTTACATAATCAAGTCGGGCTAGCTTGCTTCTGGATCCAAAGCTGTTAGCAGCTCAGAGACTGTCTTAAAAGGGAAACATTTTACTTCCAGAGTTCTGATTACTTTCCACTTTCATCTCCTGCTCCAAATCACACAGAGATCTGAAAAAGAAAGCACAACCTACTGTGGCCCCTTTTGGAGCCCTAATAGGATTTTAATTAAGTACCATGTTTTGGTTGCATTTCTTTTACCCCTTCTCCAATACACACTGCACACGTCCTGGGAAAATGCACATTCCTTCCATATAGTTTAACCTCCATAACATTATATTAGCCATATCAATTTTACACAAGGTATAACTGCCTCCCATGCCCACAGAGTTTTCATGCACACCCACCAAAGCGACAGTCTGATCGCCCAGAGCCACCCCAAGGCTCAGTGTTCTCATCGTTCTTCCCCTTTTCCTTTTCTTTTTACCTATGCGCACACACAAAATTCTGTTTTGCCCAACATCCCTTGCACTGCGATTACTCTTTTACACAACTGTACCCCGATTACACTTCCATCTTGTACAACTAGACACAACCAGGGGCAGCCAAGTTATATTCCAATAGAAACCCCTTCCATCCTTAAGTGATTTTGATTACATTACCCAATAGTCAAATAATTTTGATCAGATTCTCTCTCTGCCTGCAGCAGTCTCTGCAGATCATTTCTGTGGGAAAAGGGCCCATTTTCCCTCAGAATAACTGTAAAGGCTTCTGGGGACAGAAGCCTAGTGGTGGTAGTAGCCACTCTACCTGACCCCCTTGGATAATTTAATTACCAAGCTTCCATCCAATGTGACTGCACCGAGTTGCACAAACAGTTACATTTATAGAACTGGGTTTTATCATTAAACAAAAACTTCCTTCTTGACATCTCACATAAGTATCCGAAGTACCCTCCATTAAAACTTCAGAAAAACAAGAGTGTGGAAAGGCAGGTTGCACTTTGAAACTTTTTTTTTCTTCCCCTTCTTTCTCTCCACTCCCCCAGGAGCAAGTCCCAGCTCCAGTCTCTAAAGGTCGTCTGTTAGCTCTGCTTTTGACTTTAAACCCTGTTGAGCCAAATCATCTTTAACCACCCCTAACTAATTTACACCCCTTCAGCAGCCCTTGCTGAAGCAGCACCAAACTTGAAAGATTCCTGGCAGCTTCCCATAATGCTGCCCTTACTTCAAACCTCTCACAAGTGGACTGAAGTACCTCCTTTCCCCGGAAGGCATTCAGTCCCCATGGGCAGGGACCTTCTTCCACTACCGTATACCAAGGAGGGTGGGCTCCTCAGCCACCCGCCATCCCTCTGGGTCCCCTAACACTTCCTCCAGTTCCTTGTTAATCTCATCCCAGGTTGACCCCTGCACCTGGTATGGGCTCTGGTTCTTCCTTATCCATTTATCCAAAAAATCCTTTACCTTGGCTTGCCAGAACCCGCAACTACCATCACGAGAGTTCGCGATACCCCCTCCAAGCAGCTGTGCGGACTGTTGGGGAGGGGGACTTACCGGCTGCCACTCACCTATCCAATGCGATGTATCCGAGTCAATCACCGGCACCAAGATGTTAGGAGCTTATTCCTTCACCCGCTTCCTTCCCTGGTCCTTCTTGCATGAACAGAGAGCAACAATACCCCAAGTCCGAAGGTGCAAACAATTCAATGTTTGTTGGGGTGAGCTTCCAGCAAGCATGATTCCAGTTTCCTTCCTTAGTGTCCCCCTTCCCAGCTCTGACACCACAGAGCCTTACACCTGAGTCCCTGTTCCCATTCCTGCCCTTAGCCAAACATGATTCCAATTTCCTCACCCCTCTTCCCTGTTCCCATTTCGCCTCCCCACACACCCCCCCACTTCCTGATTGACTGCAGACTATATAATAAAACTTGAGTTCTGCTTAGCTATACCTTAACCAATCATTTTCCTGAAATTTAACTAACCAATCCTAACATATTGTAACATGATTATGTAACCAATTATATCCCACCACCTTAATTTTGTCATTATAGTTCCCACTTTGCTATTGTTTGTCTGTATAATCTCTGTCTGGTTCTGTGATTGTTCCTGTCTGCTGTATAATTAATTTTGCTGGGTGTAAACTAATTAAGGTGGTGGGATATAATTGGTTAAATAATCATGTTACAATATGTTAGGATTGGTTAGTTAAATTTCAGTAAAATGATTTGGTTAAGGTATAGCTAAGCAGAACTCAAGTTTTATTATGTAGTCTGCAGTCAATCAGGAAGTGGGTGGGGTGTGGGGGCGGAAATGGGCATGGGGGTGGGGAAACATTGAATAATAGTAAACATTGAATTGTTTGCACCTTTGGACTTGGGGTATTGTTGCTCTCTGTTCATGCGAGAAGGACCAGGGAAGTAAGTGGGTGAAGGAATAAGCCCCCTAACAGGAGGGATCCTGGCTGTGGGAGAAGTGTCAGGCGGGAACCCAGCAGGGGTGGGAGAGGTGCGGAGGCCGCTTCTGTCTGTTTCTGAATGAACTCCCTGTTTTCTCCCAGCAGGTGTAGCTGACCCCACGCCCGGGAAACACAAGCCAGGCTTGTCCAGTGACGAAGACTCAGGTCAGGCCCTGGGCCAGACACGCACTCCTACCATGGTCAGCGCATTGGCCCCGCAGCCACCCAGCCCAGCCTTCCACAGATGGCAGGTGGTGGCTGTTTTGAAGCTGCTTACTCATCATGGGCTTACTCAGCTTGTCAGGCCAAAGTTGGGTTAACTCTGGCCTTTGCCGTGTAGATGGCCGAATGGTTCCTGCTAACCCCGTTAGCTAGTGCTCCAGCTCCCAGGGCTGCCGGGCTACCCAGCATGGTTACACTACTGTCCACATAGCGACTGGAACCGGGTTGGAGCTGGCTCCAGTTACATTGGGTTTATCTTTACAACTGTGATCAGAATCCGGCCCTGCGCCACTGGCCTCAGTGGGGTCACTGCGGATTTACAACAGGGACACTGAGATCAGCATCTATTTTCTGGGAGTGTCTTGTAATAATAGGAATAACTTGCATTTTATTTTATTATAATCATACTCGGGGTGTATCTAACATATTGTGAAAATGTTTATATAAATACCCAAAGCACGTATCACTCCAACACAGCTAGCTAGACAGAGAGGTGTGTATGGGGCTAGACGGGTGGACGGATAGTCATGTGTGAGGGTAGAAGGAGGGATATGCATGTATGGGGATGGATGGGTGCATAGATGGATGGGCTCTTTTGAAAATATCAAAGTGAGTTAGGAATCCTATTGACTTTCAACAGATTCAGATTTGTTACGTCGCTTACAAGCTTTAAAAGATAACAGGAATGTCACGGAGCCACAGAATGGTGTGATGGCCCCCGCTTTGGAAACGCCTCAGTGAGCCAGACCCCCTCGGGGTATCTCTCACTCTTCCTCCAGGGTAAGTCACGCAGCTTCACCTCCTTCTTAGGCTGGACCTCTGGGCCTTCAGCACCCCTGTCAGCTGCGAGTCCCACCCCTGAGGGAGATGTGTACAATCTTAGGGAGCAAGGCACCTCCGCCAGCATCTGCAGGCAGAGACACCCCAGGCCCCATGCTTTGGGGGGCCCTGCGCTTCAGGAGTGACACAGGGCCTGGGCGGCGGGGGGGCCGGCAGCAGCATGACCAGCCCTGCTCCTCTCTGCCCTGCTTCAGGGCACACAGGACCTGGGTGGCACAGAGGCCGGCAGCAGCTCCTCTCCGGCTCCCGCAGCACGCAGGAGAGGAGGGGGCGGGGGCTTGAGGGAAGGGCAGAATGGGGGCTGGGGTGGGAAGGGGTGGGAGCTTGGGGGAAGGGGTGGAATGAGGGTGGGGCGAAAGTGGGAAGAGGTGAGGCTGGGGCAGGGGGTTGTCCCGCGTCCCGCACCCCCCCAGGGATGGCCCTGTCTGCAGGGACACTCAGCCAGCGTTGGCAGACAGCAAGGTTTATTAGCCAGCAGGAGCACAGCCTAGGAAGTCCTTGGTTAGCATCGCGAAATGAAGATCAAAGCATAGGCCATTCCCGGTAGCCAGAACTCAGCCAAGCTGTAGTGAACCCTCATTGTTCAAGCTCTGTCTGTCCCTGACTCTAATCTCCTTTGTCAGACTCCCAGGGGTGCCCCCGACTGCTTCCCACAGCCCACACTTTAATTCCACAGTCCTCTGTTTCCGAGCTTGTAAAATAGGCTCTCCCCACTGCTAAGAGGCAGGGAAGTCCATATCTCTCTGGGTCATTGATTGCTAGGTGTCCATGTCTGGGCATTTGGATCCGTCATTGTCTTCTCAAGAGCTCCACTGATATAGGACCTAAGGTCCCAGACAGTGAGGTACCATTCACACCTGTGTCCTAGCCTGCCCCAAGAGCAAAGACATTCCCCTCCCAACTAGGTAACAATGCAGCATGTAGGGGAAACTGAGGCACACATAGGGTTCATACGTTTTTTTATGAAATTACCCCAAATTCCCACTTTGTCACAACCCATACTTATTAGCAAGATTTGGCTGGACTGCAGAGATAAATAGACCAGATAAATAGATATATGTCTCTAGCGACTGGCAGTACAATAGGATAGTGCTGCCCAGCGGATAGCACAGAGGACGAGGGCTCAGGAGACCTGGATTGTAGTCCCAGCTCTGCCACTGGCCTAAAGGATCACCTTGGGAAAATCACGTCTGCCCGCTGTGCCAGTCACCCCACCTTTAAAATGGGGAAAGACACAGACCTCTATCAAAGCTCTGTGATGTCTGCTGATGGCAAGCGCTGTCGAACAGCGAAGTGTTCTTGCTAGATCAAGGGATGGAGACCCCGAGCTAGATGGGGACCCTTAGAGAGATCAAAAATGAGCCACTTTGAGATCCTTGCAGTGAAAGACACCAGAGAACTGCCCCAGCAAGTAGCAAAAAGCAACCCCGAGCCCCGTTCCTTTATGCAGCTGACTCTGTCTCGCTTTCCTGTCCCCAGGAGTCGCATCAAATGCTGAGCTAAACCCTTCCCAGCTGACGTCACACAGCGAAAGAGATGGCTAACGCTGACATGAAGACCGTGCCCTGCTACGGACGGCCCAGGGAACCCAGAGCCTTCCCAGAGTTGTACCAAGTGGCCGTGAGATTGCATTCCATATTTTTGGTCAATAAAAGGGGGCAATTGTTTTAATACCGAGAACTCAGCCATCAGCATTTTCCTTGATCTTTTAGGCTGGCAATTTCAACAGTGCGTCGGAGATTTGGAACCTGATTTGCTTGGGCTCCAGGGACAGTCCCGGCTGGGATGCTCTCCTGCTCTGCCACCTGGGAGGGTGACTCTGTCTCGCAAGCTAAGCAGCCTCAAGGCTTGGATGGGTGGCCCTAAGGCTGTGAGTCCCAATCTTTCCTCGGCCACGGCACACCAGCTGCAGGGACCACTCAGGGGCGGGAAGGGAGATTGAGCTCTGATTGGTTGCTCTGACCCTGGAGGAGGCGGGGCACTGAGGCAGACAGCCAATCAGAAGGCAGGGCAGGGTCAGGGGAGTGAGCGCGAGCTCCCAGCTGATTGCTGAGGCCCTGAGATAAGGGTGGGGATGATGCTGGGGCTGCGGAGAAGTGGCTCAGGGAAGCAGACTGAGAAGTCAGAGGGGATGCAGCACGTGGCTGCCCTCTACAGGGTCCCTGGGCCAGGACACCAAGTGGCAGGTGGGCCCGGGTCCCTCCCACCCCCACTCGCCACTGAGGAAGTGGCTGGACCGGCCGAGTGGGGTACAGACCCTCCCTGGGTTACGCAAGACCCAACTTACGCAAATCCGCACTTACGGAAAAAGCTCCATAAGCTAGAAATAGGAGTGTGGGCTTTTTTGTTTGGGATTTTTTTTGGGGGGGGGTAATGGTCGGGTATACATTTCCGACTTATGCAAAACTCGAGTTATGCAAGGTGTTCCGGAACGACTGCGTAAGTCAGGGAGCGACTGTACTGTCTCCGGGAAGGGGGGTCCTGAAGAGGACCACCCGGTCCTTGGAGCGACGCAGCTCCAGGAGCCGAAGTGCTGGCGGGCGAGACGCCACCAAGAGCCAGTGTACTTGACCTGTGGAGCCGATCTGCAAGATGACCAGCAGGAGGTGCTAGCGGGGTGAGTCCCACCCTGTCACAGGGCCCTATAAGTACCTAAACCAAAGAGAACCACTGCCCAGGCAGATTCTCCATGAACTGGAACCTGTCAGTCGAGCTTGAGAGGTCTCACAATGACGAAGAGACATCCAAGATTATCTTAATTTTTTTTTTAAAAAAAGAGCTTAAATAACTGCCCTGGCTTTTCTTCACAATGCACCGAAGCTTTATTTCACTCAGCAGATACCTCTATATCAGGGGTTCTCAAACTTCATTGCATCACAACTCCCTTCTAACAACAAAAATTACTACATGACCTCAAGCGGGGCAGGGGGGCGAAGCCTGAGTCCGCTCCGGGCAGGGGGGCCAGAGCTGTAGCCCTTGGGTTTCAGCCCTGGGTGGTGGAGCTTGGGCTTCAGCCCCAAGCCCCAGCAAGCTAACAGCAGCACCCCTGACCCCATGAAAACAGGGTTGCGACCCACTTTGGGGTCCCGACTCACAGTTTGAGCACCTCTGCTCTAGATTAATGGACAGATAAGTATTCCTTTTAGCGAACACACCCAATTAGTGTTTTGCTATGTCTGGACCACAGAGGTCAATGATTTCACATACATAGCCACTTTCTTGAGAAAAGACTGAGGTGGGGACCTGATAACGGTCTTCAGGTATGTTCAGGGCTGTTATAAAGAGGACAGGGATCAATTGTTCGCCGTGTCCACTGAAGGTAGGACCAGAAGCAATGGGCTTAATCTGCAACAAGGGAGATTTAGGTTAGCTAGTAGGAAAAACTTTATAAAGATAGTTAAGCTCTGGAACAGGCTCCCAAAGGAGGTTGTGGAATCCCTTTCATTGGAGGCCTTTAAGAACAGGTTGGACAAACTCCTGTCAGGGATGCTCTACGTTTACTTGGTCCTGCCTCAGTGCAAGGGGCTGAACTGGATGACATCTCAAGGTCGTGTCCAGCCCTACATTTCTGTGAGATTTAGATTTTCGTAGAATCACACTCTACTCCCAACCCAGAGCTGAGGTGTGACTACTGTCGGCCTTGCTGGAGCCCTAGGCATAACTAACAGTGTGAACCAAAGGCTGTGAACCAGAGTAGGCCTGACCTTGGCAAAATAACGCCACATTAGGTATTTGCTAACCAAGTCAGCACATGCCTGACCAGAGAGGATGGTAGGAGACCACCCAGAGTTCTCCAGTAACTATGTAAACACACTCTTAAGAGATGGCCCAAGAACACACCGACCCCTCGTAAGATAAGGATTGGATGATAGGACAATGGATGAGGATGTTTTGTTCGAATCAGCAGGTACAAGGAGAAGGGGGGTAACTAGCGACATCAGGAGCATCCTACGTAACTTGTTTGTATGCACGTAAAAAGGGGGAAGCCCTAGGAGGGGCATCTTTCTCCAGCCCAGGAGGCAGCATCCTGGTGTGCTGGCTGAGCTGATATCATTGAGGCAGGGATAGACGTGTTCGTGTACCTGTAAGCACGGAGCCAGGGCTACTAGGACTGTGCTTCATCGACAATAAACCTGGCCGAGCGCCTTCACCACCGAACCGAGCCTGTGGCCTTTCCTGCTGAGGAACATCGTGGTTTGCTGAATCAGCAGCCTGCGTGAGCTCCTTGTGCAGCGAACACCAGAGCGCCACGACCAGCTTGGCAGCCCTGACAGCGTTGCCACAGCCCCAACACTGCCATCTTGGCTGGCGCCCTGGGGACTGAACTGGGGACCTCCAGGGCTAAAAGCATAAGCTGCTATTTCATGGGCTAAAAAGACAAGCTTCCCTCCTGGGGGGGAGAATTAACCAGTGGAACAACTTACCAAGGGCTGTGGTGGATTCTCCATCACTGGCTGTTTTAAAATCAAGATATTCCCCCCCCCCACAACCCCCGCCAAAAGGTCTGCTCTTGTTCCAAAGGAATGATTTTGGGGGAGTTCTATGCCTTGTGTTGCACATGAGCTCAGGTTAGATGTTTGCAATGGTCCTTTCTGGTCTAGTAATCTGTTAATCACACCCTCTGTGGCTCAGCACAGAGGGGTACCTGCGCCATACACTCACCAGAATGAGACATTGTGGATAGTGGTCTGAAAACATTCACTCAATTTGCAGCGGCCCTCAACAATCCTAACAGAATCTTAGGAACTATTAGGAAAGGAACAGTAAATATCATAATGCCTCTCTCTATATATCCATGGTACACCCACACCTTGAATATTGTGTGCAGTTCTAGTCTCCCCATCTCAAAAAAGATATATTAGAAATGGAAAAGGTACAGAGAAGGGCCACAAAAATGATTAGGGACAGCTTCCCTGGGAGGAGAGATTGCCTGGGAGGAGAGATTGCTCATCTTAGAAAAGAGGTGACTAAGGGGGGATATGACAGAGGGCTATAAAATCATGACTGGTGTGGAGAAAGTGAATAGGGAATTGTTTGCCCCTTCACATAACAAGAACCAGGGGTCACCCAATGAAATTAATAAGCAGCAGGTTTAAAAAAAAACAAAAGAAGTATTTCTTCACACAGCGCAGAGAATTAGCTAAGTTCATGGAGGATAGGTCCATCAATAACTAGTAGCCAAGATGGTCAGGGATGCAACCGCATACTCTGGGTATCCCTAAGCATCTCACTGCCAGAAGCTGGGTGTGGACGACAGGGGATGGATCACTCGATAATTGTCCTGTTCTGTTCATTCTCTCGGAAGCACCAGGCATTGGCCACTGTCAGAAGAGAGGACACTGAGCTAGATGGACCATTGGTCTGACCTAGTATGGCCGTTCTTAGGTTAAGCATATTGGTTGGGGAGTGGTTGTCTGAGGACGCCACTGTCCGTGCTCTGGGGCTACCCAAAAGGATCCAGCCTTCAGGGCAGGGGAGGCACCAGGGGTGGGGGTGACCCTTGTCACCAGTGGCCATATTCACACCTTCCCCCACCCTCCTCCATGCCAGGCAGATCAGCAGATGGTAAGAGGGCGACCCATTTGTCCCATCGTTGTGCCAGCAGGGCCGTAGAAGGGATACAGGAGAAGGGTGGATCTTGGTGTGCAAGGTGAACCAGGGCAGTGCCTCCAGAGAGGCGACAGCTCCATAGAAAGAAAGCGCCCTGGCTTCACAGTCCAGGTAGACGCTGATCTTCCCTGGCGGCTCGTCCACGTCGAATTCCTAGAAGGAGAAGAATTCATAGAAGGTGCCGAGGCTCTTCCCTTCCTTGCAGCTGGTCATCCAGTAGCCGCCCTGGTTGCTGCGTGCCCTGGTGCCGAAGAACACCAGGGCATGCAGCAGACAGATTCTTATCATATAGAACCTGTTCCCCGTACCATATTAATAAACCCGCTTGACATTGGTTATTTGCTCTCTTGAGTATATTTCAAAACAAAATAATGAACCAAAGTGTGGCCAAGCAGTTGACTATACAATGTATCAACCAATTGGCAAGCCGAGCTAGGAACCAGCTAGCTAAAAATAGTCAGTCAAACCATGCAGTGTGTGACTGCTGCTTGGGGGGGACTTTTGTTTAATCCCATAGTGGTGGGACACTGGTGTGGGTGAATCTCCAGTACACCGTGCAGCTGGCCAAGCCAAAGGGGGCCATAAGCGCTCAGACTTTTCCGGTATGCTCAGGAGGGGCTGCTGGGACTTTTAATAATAAGCGCTAATGTGGCAAAACACCTTTTTCAAAGCAACCAGTTTTATAGACGAGCGCTTTGTTACGCACTCTAGGCAAAACACCAATACGTTAGGAATTCCTGGGCAAAAAGCCACACTTTAAGTGTACAGATAACAAACTTAAAGCCATGGCAAATAAAAGTGAGAGGCAAGAGACAGAATCCTTTGTTATATGGTTTGTAAATTGTCATGTTGGTCCATCGTTTGGGTTCAATAGTGGGAATAATCTTAGAATCATAGAATATCAGGGTTGCAAGGGACCTCAGGAGGTCATCTAGTCCAACCCCCTGTTCAAAGCAGGACCAATCCTCAATTAAATCATCCCAGCCAGGGCTTTGTCAAGCCTGACCTTAAAAACTTCTAAGGAAGGAGATTCCACTACCTCCCTAGGTAACCCATTGCAGT